ACCCACAGCGAACGGCCGAATAAACCCGACAAAATCCCGCGAAAGGGGAAGGGGAAGGATGTTAATCTACGATGAATTAGCATCACAATCAGATGAAATAGCAATAGTTAAGTAGCCTCACTTTGCGAAAGCGTTAAAAGCTCCTATACTGGGAAGGTGWCTGTCTTGTTTACAAACTTAACTCATTTAATATTGAGTGATGTCCTAAAATGATCATCGTTTGTCAGTTGTATTCAACACTGAGTGATTGAACGCCAAGTATTTGAAGACGTTTGTCTTAAAAATTTAACGCCCAAATGAGATGGTTTTTGGAGTATCCCTTGGTACTTTTTTGCCTGTTGTACTCCTTACGGTTCCAGTGATCTATCTTTCTCTCGTTTCTTAGCATTTTCATTTGTAATTATCTGTTTCGCTACAGATTGATGGCAAAAAAATTGACTTACCAACACTAGAAGGAATTGTTATTCTTAACATAGGCAGGTTAGTGAAAGCTGGAAGTTGAAGTCAGTCAAAAGAATTCGAGTTAGTGTTGCAGTGGTGAAATTTCCAATTGAGTGGATTGAGAAAACGGATTAAAATCGGTTTCAAAGTGTAGTTTTAAGACGCTCAGTTTTCATCCTGAAGTCAAAGTAGTACTAATTTAGGTCAACATGATGTATTTCATTTCATTAAAATCTGATTCCTTTACGGGAACGAAGAACGTACAAAAAGAGGCCATTTTCGATATAACAAAATTGAAACTTAGCTGCCAGGATTGGGGGAACAAAACAAAGGAACAACATCGAGGTTGAGGGATGAATAATCAATTTCTTTAGTTAAATACCTCCAAGCCTCAGAGCCATGTTAGAATTTTAATAAATCGAAAATGGGCTAATTGTCTCGCGCCAATCATGTGACTTTGCAGCCCAGTCGGGTGTAGCACCCAGACTGTATCTGGCTGGGAGACATGGGTTCGAATCCCGTTAAAGTTGAACTTTAAAGTTTTCTCTTCTGATTTTTCATTGGTAGCAGTTCAGGTGCGAGTATCGCTTCTCTACGCGTGAGGGATTTTATTTTCATTTGTATTTAGTTTTCCCTTTAATTTTTTATAATTTTTTTTGTCCGACCAGTTGGGGAGCAGGTACGGATGCATGGGGACCAGACAAAGAAGATGTATGTAATACGACTTGAATTTAGCATTGATCTCTGTCCTTTTTCAAAGCACCAGAAAGCTTATGAACAAATCTTGACATCTTGACCCAGGCAAGTGATGTCTTTAAAAACACGCAGTCGGGTCAATCGCTATATCGACCGACATACATCTCGGCCGATATATCAATCGAGTCTC